TGCCATTCGGTCGAACTCTTCGCCCCTTGGAAGTCACTTAAGGACGGCCTAATCCGCGACCAAGTTTTCCCTCTTTCCATTGAGGAGAATCCATGACCGATAAATATGACCTGGTTCGCCATCGCCATCCTCGTGCTCATGGTCCTCTATATTCTCTCCTTGAGCCTCATTTTTGGAGCAGAAAGAGTGGGTTTGCTTTCAGAGAATTTTTAGTAAAACTACATTTAGGGACGAATACCCATGAGGAGTTCGGCAGAACATGGGGGGATCTGCACCTGCCCCGGCTGATCGTACACCCAATGATAACGGCTGAACTGATGGCCCTCGTGGGAGACGCACAGCCCTTCGAGACGATACTCGAGTCCCCCTTGATAGACTCCGAATACCCGAAGAACTCCCCGAACCGTTTCCTCGAAGTCACTTCGGGCATCATTCATGTGTTCATCCTATTCTGAGAGTGCGGCAACGAGTGCAACGAAGCACTCCGCGCCCGCATATTTTAGTGCGTGGCGCGAAATACAATGGCTCTATGAGGATAACGCGATGGGAAACACGTTCATTTATTTTTATTATTATCGACGAGTCGATTTCTAGTCCAAATCCCACTTCTGCTTTCTCTGCTGTAGGAAGAGGAACGAGATGCAGTCATAAACTAATACCTGTCTACCTCGGATACCTATAAACAAACGGCCTCCGGAATTGAAACGCAACGTGGATCACATCGATGAACTCCCAGGAGCCATAATTTTCTTTTGGTGGGCTGTCTCCTGGGAGACAACCCCGGAGAGGGAAGGGAGTAGGTAAGAAGGGAAATGGCATGCATTTAACTTGTTTCTAGTTTTAAATACGAGTTTCTGTGTTCACTTTTGGGGAGAAACAGCTTTGACTTTGTAAGATCAATTCTGTGACGCGAGTATTTATTATTAAGAAGCATATTCATATGATAAAAAATTATATTAACACATTCACTGCTAATTTCGGCATATGCCGTCTTCACGCAGCCCGTCGCTTAGCCTATGACCGAAAAAGTGATAGCCTTGAAGGCTACGCGCGTTAGGCTAGGTAGCAGAGCCTTAGGTCTTGACAGGTGAACATGTTCCTTCCTTAAATTGGTCAGCCAAGCCTGGAAGTTCTCTTCCATTATTGATACTAGGAGCGAATACATTAATCCCCTATGCACACACCAGGATTCCAGGAAACACATACTATTCTGGCATGAAGAAAAGACGAATTGCGGGGACAGTATGCTCTGACACTCATGAATAGACGAGTTCCTGTTCTTTTGGCAAGCGGCAGCATAGAATGAGTCAACTCGTACCTGAAAGCTGAACCATGGAAGAGGCTCAATGCTTGCGCAAATATCGAAGCAATATAACTGGCTATGGTCGGAATTCTCCCTCCCTTTCTCTCAATTCCTCTTTCCGAATACTTGTCTTTATGATATTTTCTGTACCCTCCTCGCGTCTTACGCATCTTATGCTCTCCTGGAATAATGAAAAACCGAATTATAAAGTCTATGAGCGCATTGTTGTAGTGTGCACGCCATGTCGAACCTTTAGACGGGTAAATGCCACTATTTCTGAAAAAAAAGTGTTTGAGTAGGAATTTTCTTTGAAATCGATTATTATTAACAGAGTATAAGGTGTACTTTTCACATATCACCTGCAGCCGGAAGCCTAACAAGCCAACCGGCGACAGAGAAAGTTGGAGTTTTTACCTGCCACTTTAGTAAGTACTATGGGAGAACGGTGGCTATTGTGTTTGGTCAGTCAATATTTTTCATTTCGTCCGCCCGTGGTATCCATAGCAACCGAACAACGCGACTCAGTGTGCATTTTTAGCTTTCCACCTGGGTCATGAAGCCAATCTCCGACTAGAGTTTCCACTTTTCTTCCAGCCCATGCGGATAACGGAGCCATAATGTGTTATGGGGGGAAGAAGCTGCTCGTGGAAGCGTAGACAGGGTTGCCGGGCGTACTCTTCAATTGCCGCTTCTGGCATCCTACATTTCATACTCACTTTTCGTCTCTACGTGAGGCGGACATGCGAACCGTCGGGGACATAATCACGTCGCCCCAGACTGTTCACTTGGGCCTACGACATTGTAATAAGAAGTTCTACTTGTAATGTTGGATGTTGCAGTGGCGGCAAAGTTGTATTCCAGAGGTAAGGGGCCATTGGAAATTGTAGATCTGTTCCTGGGTTAACATTTCAGTAGTACTCCAGCACTTTGAAGCCTGTGTTCTGGTGGAGAACTAAGGCAGTGACTCCTCACGCTCAGAATTATATCAAACCAGCGCCCTACGGCCGCTACGCTGGCCATCTGCTCGTCGAAAAGTGAAAATTATCTAAGCCTACAACGGATCCCTGAAGTAAGTCTAGGCGAAGCACCACAATGCAGTTATCAAATCCGTACAGAGATGGCGCCTGTGCATTCTCAAATGAAATTGACTACAGCAGGACCAAATGTCAACTTTTTCCAACGTGAGAACAAATTCTAATAAAGGATTTAAAGGGCTGTCGAATGGTGGATCAGACGATAAATTGCATCCAAGATTAATACGAAAGGTCATCCGGTTCAGATCAAAGATCAATTCTAAACGTTAATTTGAATGCCGGTCATTATGTAAATAATGTTTTAGATGCCCGCTGATATTGAAAAAACTGGGATCTTTCTAATTCTAATTCTAATTGTTGAATAACTTTTAAAACTAACGTCGTTTAAGTTCATCAATGAATGGCTAGTTGTTGAACTCTCACGTTCATCGCGGCTTCAAGTTTAGAGATAATCTCCGTGATGATGGACCGTGAGAATCGGAATGAAGGTTTTCCCTCTTTTATCTCTTATGTCTTACCGGAGGCATCATTGCATCCGTGACATTATTCAGGAAATTATGTTGAGGTTCGCTGATCACTAGGGAAACAACTCATGACAACATCCTAAATAATTCGAATATTTTCACGATTTTCGTTCTTCCTCTGCTGTACAGATGAATACAAGGTGTAAACTCGTATTTCTTTACTCCTTCAACTTGGAGGCTCCTGGATATTCTGCTCCTTTTCTTCTCTGACAGGGGTTTTCAGGTAGGAGTAGCTAATATTTTGTCGAGAGGGTGAGGAAAGGTGGTAACACATTGATCTAGGTTAGGTGGGATGTAATTTCTGTCATTACCTCAGGAATAAATAATGAAACATTAAAACGGCATGGATATCAATGGACCGGCGCGTGGTGGGTCGATGTGTACTACGAAGTATCGCTGCCATTATGGAAATACCTCCTTTAGGCAAGAACAGTAGGTACTGAAAGGGGGCTCTTGGAACAGTTGCAGAAAATGGTGTGGGTTGACACATTTTGCGGCTGCAGTTCCACCAGAAAGGGAAGTGTTGTCACAGGAACCCTTTCCCTTGTAAGTGTCCCATTGCACGGAAACTCATACTGAGAGTACTTCTTGCCTTTGTAGATATTGACAAGAAGTGCTGTGCACACTTATGTCGTACGGAATCGGGTGTTCCGTAAAACTTTGGTGATCTTCCTATCCACCATTCTTGTTGAACCCGTCAGCCTCGGTCTTTGCATGCTAATTGTAACGTTTACCTTCTCTTGAAAATCATTTCCAAGGACTTTCTTTCAAGTCCACGAAACGGTTTTAAACCCAGGATTAAAGTCTTCTTTTGCGTATACTCGATTCCTGAAAGACACCCTGGGGGTGGCCAATGCTTCGGAAAACTATAAAAAGGAATTTCTCGATCCCATAAATTTAGATAAGCGATGAAATCCGTATTTTCTCACATTGATCAATGCCAGTGAGCTCGTTCCACTTCAAAACTCTTCTGATAGTAGTCGTGAAGCGATTCGTAATATCGATATGAGTTTTTCTTAAATAAAAAGCGTTTTTCGCTCAGGTTCAGGTAATGACTTATTTTAATTTGTGAAGTCATACTTACTGCTGGACTGTGGTTGACGTGTTCCTCTCTGCTTGTGATCATCAAGAACGAGATTAAATACTCAATTGACTTTGAATAATACAAGTGTAACCTATACTAACAAGGGGACAGGTTTGATCTCACAGATCTAACCTCTCTGTTACACGCAGTTATGCCACAGTCAGTTCAGAATGGTTAGTATAAGTTCAAATTGCGTAAAATGAGTAATAGCACGTGACATATATACTTCTCTGTAGGTAATTGCAATCATCACCATGGATCTTCTCATTCAAGACTTTGTCAGAAATGGGGCGAGGAGAGGGTGAGTTCTAACATCTATCACCGGTCATCGAGCACAAATTAACGATTGCGTGGATGATAGAATTAAGATGGGATCCTAAACAAAACCATTCACCTTCACCCACCGGGTAAAAGCAGTTGTCGAATGACAGAAAGAGGATAAGAGCCATCGTTGGAACCAGAACGATGACCTCCCCTCAGAGTTTTTGGAACCACGTGTGACAAAGGAGAACATCTACTAAGCTCGATACACTTTCCACTAGTATGTTCCATTACGTCATGTTACGACATTACTTGCGCTTGCTGCAGCTTGTATGTCCTGGCTAACACGACACGATTCTCGAAGCCGTTTCATATCGGTATGTCCAAAATTTCGTGCAAAAGTAAACGATTTATTGAGAATTCACTCGGTCACTTTAACCTTTCGAAACTATGTCTGCATTTTGCAAAATAAATTCGAGTAGGCTAATGGGAGTGGAAAAAAAATTCAAGTGGAGAGGGTTAATCCACCGAGGCGTGGACGTTTTGTGAGCAATCCCTTAGTTCCACTTTTGAGGATAAAGTGACAAACAGACCTAATATGTCACATGACGATCACAAAATGTATATTTTCAACGGATCCTTTGCTCTTACAATGTACAATGGCAGCAAAATTTGCTTCTGAAGAAACCTCAATCCCTCAGTTATTCAAGGTCAGCTGAAGCGGTCACCAATAAATTTCATCTCTATTTAGGCGGGCACGATCCACTGCTATCGCCGCCATATTCTTATTGATGATGATCATCTATTTTGTCTGCTCACTCATCCTCATTTATGGTGCAGAAAAAGTGAGTGCGTGTGATTTCGGAGGAATTTTGGGAAAAGCCAATTTGATCGCTATGTGTGTGAATTTCGCAGAATCAGAGAAATCTCCACTTGCCGTGGCTGATTGTACACCCACTGGTAACGGTGGCACTGGTGGCCGTCATGGTAATCGCAAACATCGGACCTATATCCCGCGAATTCAACATCTACTCCTATCTGCTAGTGACCCATTCCTCCTACAATGTAGGGGTCGTACAGACGTTCATCATATTATGTGAGTACGATACCTTCAAGGAATGAAGCACTCAGCCTAATCGTTTTATCTCGCAATGAGTCGTACGGTGTGAGCAAATGAGCTTGATCATAATTTGTCTAAGGGCCATCCCTCTTATGAAGGATCATTTTCAGTCCTTAGCCCTGACCTGCTACTTCTAGATTTTGATTAGATCTCGCCCTAGATGAAATATGCAACCGAATGCAATTAAGCAATGCTATTTGTAAAAAAAGTTAATACATTTTATTCATTCTTCGTGCTTCCAATTATATTTCTAAAACAATATTCGGATGGCGTACATTATTCATACCGAAGTACCTGATATTTAATGCCTTTAAGCCGACAATATCCAACCCTTTCCGCAGGGTTCCTGATCTACTTGTGGGTGGTGGTGGTCGCAAATTGGCAGAAGCTCGGAACGCAGGGCACAACGCAACCACTCAACGATCGTGGCGGCAAGGGCCCCCCTCAAGGGAATTTCCAGGAAACGGAGATTCCCAGAACCGACTCCGCCTGGGCCGCGCCGCCTCCAGCTCCGATTGTCATTTCTGATTCGTTTCCTGATTAGTCCGATGACTCAGACACATTAAGCTAGAGTACCATTTTCAGCACACAATTACGTAATGGTAGAAATATTTAATTGCACCACTTTGAGTAGAGCTGCATACGCGGAATACAAAGAAAATGGCAAAACAAAACCTTCGGCAGTGCACATTTGGCAAATATATATTTCTTACTAAGAACGCTAAATTCGCAATGTGCTTGCTTTTCTCCAGAGGTAAAAAAAGTTATCGAGAGAATATGAGAAATCTCGGGGTTGAGTCACTTAGCTTATCCATAAATGTTACCAATGCACATTTATGTATTGTTTCGTCAGTAGCCTATCTGTGGTTATGCAATGATTTAGCGGTGGATCTACATGCAAAACATGAAATTCGTTTGTCAATGGAAGCAAATGTTTTACTTGCTATGAAAATAATCGACTCGTTTGAAATGCAGGTTAGATGTGGGACTGGCTTTTGCGTTCTCATCAGGAAAGGTGGCCGGGAGTTAGATTATACGGTTATTTAAGATAGATTTCTGGAGAGTCTCGCTGTGGAAGCCATGGAGCGTGGACCTGTCTGCTCCATGTCTGATTGAGTGGTGCTATAGTGGGCCTGGGCCTAGATCTGTTTCATGCCCAACCGAAAAAGAAGGAAAGACAACTGTCTATTGAGCCTTTAGTCCACACAAAAGTTTGGGAATTGGTGAACGTACTCGAGGACGCTGCATCTGCCTTTTCATCCTTTACTGGGTCCTCCGAGAAGGAAGAGCAAGACTCGGCAGTACTTCGATCGATCAGTCTCTCTTATGTGAATAAGCTTCGTTCCGCGCAAAAAGGTATGCCTCGTCGCGAAGACAGCTATTCTGGACAATTTGACTTCAAGAAATTAGATAGTTTTATGGATGATGCTACCAGGAAGCTGAATACCATCATCGCAGAACAAGCAGATCTGAAGGCTAGAGTGGACTCTTTGAGTCGCGGCTTCGAAACAATGAAGACGGATGTTGACAACATGAAGAGGAGGGTCGATGACATTGAGAGTTCTCGGCAGGTGGATAGCGATGTCGTAGTGGATATTGTGAAATCGAAGTTACCTGATATGGAGACACGTTTTGGGGGATCCTTGTCTAGCATGGAAGAGCGACTTTTAGCCCTGGAGGTATACCAAAGGCAAAGCAATGTGGTGGTGTCGGGTCTGCCCGAGGGAGAAAAGGAAAACGCAGAAGAAACCATTCGTGACTTTTTTCTCTCCACCCTTCGTATCCCAGACTCGTCGGTCTCAACCATGAAATTCTACGCTGTACATAGACTCCCTCGTCCTCGTATTCCGGAGAACGCAGACCCCGAGGACCCTAGAGTGAAATTTCGCCCGATGATGGTCGCTTTCCTCTCCGTACAAGATAGGGAGGTGGTTCTTTCTAATGGAGGTATGCTGGCAGGCAAGAAAATATCTATGAAAATTGATCTTCCACCCCTTCTGAGGGAGAAACGGAGACGCTTGGAGGGGATTGCTTACAAGTTGCGCCAAGAGCAGCACCAGCGCACCAGGGTGGTCTGCCGGGGCACAGATCTTTCTCTCCAAGTCTTCTCGAGAATCAGAAATCGATGGGAAGCCTATGAGAATAAATAGGGCGTAATTACTCTTTCCTAATTGTCTTTTGTGCCCAGTCCCTCATAAATCGCCACTCTCCTTGAGCGGGTACCTTTCCCCTTTACTTTTTTGTTGTTGTTTCCTTTTTGTTGTTGTTCTTTTCTTCTTTTTTTTTCCTCTTCCCCTTCTTTCTTTTTCGCTCTGAAATGTCTCTGAAAATAGTATCGGCTAACTGTCGGGGATTAGGAAATCGGTACAAGAGGCGAGATGTTTTCCATTTTCTGAAGACTAGAACAGATGCAAACATAATTTGTTTACAGGATACTCATTTTGTCGATAACTTGCATTACTTAATTCGGTCTGAATGGGGTAGCGATGTATTCTTCTCTTCTTTTTCTTCTGAGTCTAGGGGCGTAGCTATCTTGATTAGACCAAACGTAAATTTTTGCTATGTAGCTGAACCTGTTTATCAGAGAGCGGATGGAAATTTTTTGTTGCTGAAGCTCGTAATTGATAAGAGGCAATCTCTGTACATTGGTAATGTATATGGACCAAATAAGGATGACGAAGATTTTTACTCCGAAATATTCGGTATCATTGAACAAAATTGTGCCTTCTCCTCTCTTATACTGTGTGGTGATTGGAATTTGGTGCTGGAGCCTATGAAGGACTGTATGAACTATGTGAATGTTAACAATCCCAAAGCGAGAAAAATTGTTCTGGACATCATGGAAGCTAATGTGTTGGTTGATATCTGGAGAGAACAGAACCAAGCAGCAAGGCGTTTTACTTGGCGGAGAAAAGCCCCTTCGATGAAGCAAGCTCGTCTTGATTTCTTTCTTGTGTCTTCTGATGTAATTTCTAGGGTTACAGCATGCGATATTTCTTATGGGTATGCCTCTGACCACTCGTTCCCTTCTCTTGGCGTCGATTTCCGAGGAAAGGTGGTGAAAACGACCTTGTGGAAATTTAATAGTAGTCTTTCGAGAGACGACGAATTTGTGAAGTTGATAGAAAGAAGCATTAAAGATTTTGTTGCTATTCACGCGGCGACTCCCTACGACCCCTCTCATTTGGAAAACTTAAGCTTCGAGAGTATGACAGACCTCGAATTCTTAGTGGATGATGCGCTATTCATGGAATCGCTGATGGCGTATATTAGAGGGAAATGTATTTGTTACGCTTCTTATAAGAAAAAGCAAAGGTATAGGGAGGAGAGCGAACTTATAAAAAATATTGAAATCTTGGAGAAAAAGGTAGATGTTGGACAGAATTCTTGTTTACAAACCCTTGATGAGTCAAAAAACAAGTTACAGGAACTCAGGAGGAGAAAAGTAGATGGTCTCATCATTCGCTCCAAATGTAGATGGGAACTGCTGGGAGAGAAACCTACTAAGTATTTCTCCTTGATGCTTAAGAAGAGGATTCATGACCGCCACATTTATGAACTAAACGTTGGCGGCATGGAAATCAGAGAGAGTGATAAAATCATTGATCACGTCCGGTCCTATTATAAGAACCTTTACGCTTCTCGGGAAAATGAAATATGTGAGGAAAAGTGTCAAGAAGTCTTTCAATTTTTGAATGAAAGCAACTGCCCAAAATTGTCCGAAGCTGAAAAAGTTGATCTAGAAGGCGATATATCTGTACAAGAGGTGCATCACGCACTAATGAAAATGGAAAATGGTAAAAGTCCTGGATCGGATGGTTTTACACCAGAGTTTTATAAACATTTTTGGCATTGTTTAGGAGGTTTTGTTGTAAGATACCTAAATTTTTGCAACAAACGGGGTTGGTTCTCAGCATCACAAAGGGAAGGTGTAATTTCTATAATACCAAAAAATGACAAGCCGAGAGAATTTATCTCCAATTGGAGACCTATTACTTTGCTCAATACTGTATACAAACTTTGCTCTTCGTGCATAGCGAACAGGTTGAGAAAGGTTTTACCAAAGTTAATCCATCCAGATCAGAAAGGTTTTATGGAGGGTCGAGAAATGTTCGACTGTGTAAGGAACGTATATGATCTGATGCACATCTTGACGGACCAGAGTATTCCAGGCATGTTACTGCTGATAGACTACGAAAAAGCCTTCGACTCCTTCACCCATTCATTTCTATTTAAAGTGTTGGAATTCTTTAATTTCGGTCCTGGTACGGTTCAGTGGATAGGAACCTTGTATCACAACGCTTCCACATCAGTGTTTCAGAATGAAATGATGTCAGGGTCTTTCCCAGTTGAGCGTGGCTGTAGACAGGGTGATCCTATTTCACCTTATATGTTTCTGCTCTGTGCTGAAATTTTCGCGTGCATTATCAGACAAAATCCAGTTATCTCTCCTATTTCCTTAAAAGGGCTTCATCAGTTGAGCGTGGCTGTAGACAGGGCGATCCTATTTCACCTTATTTGTTTCTGCTCTGTGCTGAAATTTTCGCGTGCATTATCAGACAAAATCCAGTTATCTCTCCTATTTCCTTAAAAGGGCTTCACTCCCCAAAGGTGGAACTCTACGCCGATGATACGACAATTTTATTTGATGGCGACGACCAAGGCCTAAGAGAAATTCTGAACTGCCTCGATGTATTTGAAAGAATCTCAGGCCTAAAATGTAACTTAGGGAAAACCAAGGCTGTAGTCATTGGGAAGGTGGATGGACAGATCTATAATACACTGGTGGAAAGAAACGTGGAAACGGTGTCGCAATTTCGATTCCTAGGATTTATGTTTTCCACTGACCCCACAGAAATTATGAACTTGAATTGGGAACCGAGACTTTCGGATATTAACGCATCGTTGATGTCCTGGAAAAATTTTAAGCTCTCCCCTTTTGGCAGATTATGTGTTATAAGAAATTTTGTCATTCCTAAAATAACCCATCTGCTTGCATGTATCCCCAATCCACCTTCTGAAAAGATAAAGTACCGGGAGAAGCTACTTCTATCTTACTTATGGGACTGGAAAAGACACTTAATCAACAAGGATAGTGTATATTTCCCATTACAAATGAGAGGTCTCAATATGTTGCATTTGACGGCGTTCATGAAAGCACTAAAACTGGCTTGGTTGAGGAGGTTACTTATTAAATCGACTTTCTGGACGAACCAATTTCATAATAATTGGCAGCGATCTCTTTCTTTGGATATCTTTCAAATTGGCAACGCTTTTTCTCTGCCTCGCTACTTTAATGACTTTTGGCAAGATGTGATAAATGCCTGGAAATTTTTTAACGAAACGTTAATGGATCGCACTGGAGGAGTTTTCCCCCTCTGGTATAATAATGAGATAATGTTAGCGGGTAAATTTCTTAATTCCAAAAAGTGGGCCCAAAAGGGAGTGTTTTTTACTTCCGACCTATTGTCAGAGAGCGGTGATTTATTGTCACTCTCTCAATTTCAAAGTAAATTCAACTTGCAAGCAGTGAACTTCCTTGAT